ATAAAATTTTATTAATAAAATTTTAAAAAATCTTATATTATAATTTATTAATTAATTCTAATTTTATATACTAAATACTGTAAATTTATCAGTATTTAAAAATATATATAAATATATTTAAATTCAAATTAATTTGTAAACTTCAAACTAAACCCAAATCAAACTCAAATTTAACTACTATAAACCATTTAAATACTGTACTATATATACTGTAATAAAGTTTGAATTTAGAGTTTGGGCCCTGTAGCTTATTGGTTAAGCTCCCAAACCTCCACAGACAAGGTTGATAGTTCAAATCTATCTAGAGATATAAAATCTGTGATTTTTAATTCTCTGTAAACCTAAATAGCAAGAGTGCTATTTCAGACACAGAGCCCTGTGGAAAATTCAAGTGCAAGTACAAGTTCTGGAATTAGAATTCCTGAAGAAGTCTAATCATGAAGCGGTGCTGATACGCATATTTTTTACGGAAGGTCTAGGTTGTAGAAGATTGCACATGTAAGTCCTCTAGTTGGGGTGACCTAGAGACAACACTAACATCTCTTCGCCTCTACTTTAGGCAGTACCAACATCTCCGCACCAAACTTGTAGGGTACTTGCTCAGAAGGATGATTAACAGATCATGCATATCAGTTCTAATTTGGATTGGCATTGGGTACTTGCTTGGAAGGATGATACAATACTACCAAAACTAGAGTATTAAGAGAAGCAGTGGATATGTGAAAAGGCTATGGTAAAGGATTGGCTTTACCTGAATTGAAAGCACCTCTGGTACTGTGAAACAACTAACTAAAGAAGGTAATTTCATAGAAACAGGCTAGCTAATCTAGTACATCTAAAGGCACCAAATCAGAGCTTTGGTCATAACTATATGAAAGTCAATGACGAAAAAAGCCAGAATACACCAACGATAATACAACACTAACCAATAGATGAGAGCCCAAGTTGGAAGTTAATATGAATTAGGGTACATCTCCTAGTAACATGATGCAAGGCCTATGGCTAGAAGTAGAACCTAAGCTTACCTTGATTCTACAAAATATGGTTTTGGTAATACACCATATGAGAAAGTACAAATGGATTAGTTGGTACCACTATACCAAAAAAATGTTAAGTCCTGAGGTGGTAAACCAGCAGCAGCAGCAGGACTTGGCTTGAAATACGGGTTAGTAGTAACTGGGCAGATACTGTATTTGTGTGTAATAATGCATATATGCGTTATTTTGAAAATGCCACTTTTTTAAAAATTGTCTATTTGACTTAAAATAATGCATATGTATGTCCTGAAATAACGCACCCCCCTAAGAGTTTGCATGATAAATATAAGTATAGCACACATGTCTATTAAATTATTAGTGATATTGATCACATATGTGCATCCTGAAATAACGCACAGGTACTCAAAATAATGCACAGATGTGTATTATTATATGAAAATACGGTAAGTGAGAGGATTCCTGCCAATTAGTATATCTAGTAATATAATACCAACTCTGTCATGTGGCGAACCTAACTAGGTAGCAAGTTCTGGCTTGAGATACGAAGCTATAAAAAGGTTACCTGCACCAATTACGGTTGCACTAATAGAATCTGTTAAGAGATTTGCAGTAGATTGTGTTTGCAGGTATACCAATTTGGAAGCTCATTAAGAGCAAATACCTGATGTATCAACTTGGAAGTTATAACTGGTCATGTAAAACATAGAAGAATATGCAGTTACTAGAAATAGTTAGTTAGAAAGCAAAAAGCTAGATGATATATGTGTGGAGTATAGACCACTCTAGTAGGTTTAGGTCATAGATAAATTAGTCTAAGTCTCTGTAGTTCATAAAAGTTAATATATATGTATATGTAATTGTAATTGCCGAAGCTATATGTTGTAGCAACTAGAAATTGAGTGATGATGCATTAGACCTAAAAAAGATTGATTGCATCATTATTTGTTTTATATAATTAGTACATACATCATATATTTAGCAAACATAGCATAATATGTATATTTAGCCAAAGTCACATAATTAGCATAGATAGCATAGCGTGACTAGCATATATAGCATATATAGCATAACTAGCATAATTGCAGATATGTAAATATTATAAAAGCAAGCCTGTATTGAATTGGGACGAGAATCTTACGATACTCCAAGTTAATAAAGTATACACTTGACTCTGCCAAATCCACGTCCTCTTTCGAGGTGTTATCGTCTAATATTACACAAACCGTCCCAGGTTACCCTATGAATAGGGATTTTTAAGGCGAAATGATTTATGAACAATTACAATGTTAATAAAAACCAGAGCCGTGACCTCACCTTAATATAAAAAAAAAAAAGTTTGAATTTGATTCAAAAATCAAATCAGACTCAAATTTGACTAAAGTTTGATTTGGGTCTGATTTTTAAAAATATTATTATCAACACAAAACAATTAGACAAGAAAAAGTAATTTTAACTATACTGTACTAAAAACAATATTTACTCAAGATGGATCAAAAGTAATATCATCAATTACTGGAAAAATATTATTATTTGAACTATAAAACATCTTGATTTGTTCTTGCTCACTTCTAAATTTTTTATTTTTATATATACGAGCCTGTCTTGACAATTTGGTTTTAGTAGGTTCATCTTGTAATACAATATCTTTTCCCTTTCATTTATTATTTGATGTTTGTATGGTATAATACTGTATTTGTTGTTTAAATAAAAAGAATTATAGTAGATAAATATTAGTGGGTTGAAAAATAAATTAATTAGATTCTATATTAAAAAAATCCTTTAATAATACTGTATGTTTGTTATATTTAATATTAAAATCAATTATATATTACTATAATAATTTAACACTTTATTGCATATTTACTAATTAGACACTATAATTATTGAACATAACAAATCAATCAACAATCACATATTTCTAGATCTAGAATTACTATAAATTGTTGTGATATTTTGGTTAAACTGATATAAGAACTATTATATAATAATTTGACATACCTGGGTAATCTACTTACAAATAGCTAGGCTTAGATTTTGAAATGAATATAATTAGTAATGGAACTACTGAGTTGTTAGTTAATAATACTGTTACAGTACCGTGGCCTTCTTAACAGCAGTAATATAACAATGACACAGCTACAGAGATCCTTTACAGGTTTATAGTAGTGTCCAACAGGTAAGTATAATTTCTACTACA